AGTTACTAATTGGGTAAACACACTCAAGGAATTGACAACAAGGCAAAATAATAACTGCATCTTTTGCTTCATGCCTGAGTTATAACAAAGCCAAGAGATTTTTGAATATGGGAAAGTTGGGAATCCAGTCCAGCAACAGGTCCATATGTGCAGTGAGTGACACTGCTTGATTCCAGATAAAACCTGGCAAAATGTCAACCCTATCACTGTGGCAACCACACATTCTTTACAAGTGCATTAAGGTTCAAGTACTGGCATCTTCAACTGTACTCTGAAGTCAACTAATAGTCACGCACACTAGAAAAGTATTAAAGGAATAATTATTCTGGCTGAAAATGAATTAGATTTTGTACCTCCCCCATTTTGAACTAGATGCAATTTCTGAACATTTTTCAAATCATCTCTGTGAGGAATGGATGGGAATCATCCTTGGAATCAGAGAGAAATGGATAATGATTGCAAATTTATTCCCCTTATAATAAAAATTGGGGTCACTTAGCTCAACCCTCTTTTGTCCCCTATGCACACTAAAAAACACACACCAACAAAACCATTCCATAAAAAGGACCAAGCCACCGAATTCTCAACATTCTGTTAAACTAATGCCCAACAAATGATTTATGCTGTTTGTTAATGATGTTTTTCCATGATAGACAATGAATGGTTATGAAATAGCACCGATGTAAAATTTCTAAATAACCCAACTGGTGGCAAGGAAAACAGCCTCCAGAATTATAGGAAAGGGAACTTTAGAATAACCGTACATATTTTTAGGCCACAGGTAAGTAACACATTATGTGCACAGGCAAATGAACAAAGCATATTACTTACTTGTAATGAATATATAAGTTGACCAGCTGTTGTTCCTTACGGTAATCTTTTTTATATATGTATGTATCATGGGAGGGGAACATATGGTGTATTATTTGACTTCAACTCTCTTCACCTCACCCGTCTCCAATGTTGAAGAATGATGGGAAATGCCATTCTACAACATCTGGAAAGCCACATGTTCAGCTCTAACCTCATATTCATTCTTTGATTGTGGATCTTTAGTCAGCCAAACTAACAATGTCTGTTTACAAGAAAGAGGTATTAGGAGGAAGCTCAAAGAAAGGTTTGCAATACCATTCCAAATAAAAACCAAAATTCTGTTCTTATAGGGCCACACAAATGGCTCACTCAGGACACAGCAGGCTCCACACTCAAAGAATGCTAAGGTCTGTTTTGAGTGGATGGAGTGAATTATTCTGCAATAGCTCTTGCCACTATGGTTGTTGGAAGTCGTAGAGTTTCAGTTTTCTGATAAAGTTCCTTTCTGCTACACAGTAGAAGTACAAAGATACATAGAGAAGAATAACTACAAGTTTCTCAGAGTCTACCCCTTTCACATTAACTGGCATTTAAAGTCTCAATAACTTTCTCATGAACTGGCATTTAAAGTCTCAATAAACTTGTTCTGAGACATTTGTAGGAGAAAGAAGAAACATGTTTCTTTACAAACCTTCTTTGCTTGAAATTAGAGTCCTGTGTATACTGGTTTAACTGAACAGATCAACAGCAACAAAGCAAGTGTCACAAACAAAAGAGAGGGACAGGATACTCAGTAGAGAGGTGGAGCTCCCTCTGAATTTCAGAGCTCTCTGAATTATATATAAGATTACCCACACTCCCTCTGTGGGATGGCCCCACTTTGCTCCCTCCCCCCTCCCTTCTAGCTCATGGCCAGTAGCAAGGATAAAGACTAGAACATGTTCATGTTGATTTACAACCCCTGTTCAATTCCATGTTCCCTGTCCCCTATTCCTACACCTAATCTATATAATAATA